GCTCACTCTGTTAGTTGCTGGGAGTGCCTTGCTGGACTCTCCAGCCCTGTGAATTCTCCTGCTTGGCTGATGCGCTCACTCTTAGTTGCTGGGAGCACGTTGTTGGACTCTCCAGCTCTGTGGAGTCTCTGTAGTCCGTCAGGACTTTGATGTCTTCTTGGTCAATTCAGTTGACCCTGTTATTGTCACACAATGTCCCTTTTCTGCCTGATAATATTCCTTGTTATGAGCTCCACTTTGTCTGAAATTAATACAGACACAACTCTCTTTTGATTAGTATTTACATGGGATTTTCCCCCCATTTTCCCCGTTTTAACTTCCCTATAACATTGCCTATGAAGTGGGGTTTCTGTGTACAGCATGTAAGTTAGAACTTGTTTTTCATTCAACCTGACCATCCCTTTGTTTTAGTGGGTGTGTTCAGACCATTTACATTTAATATAATTATCCATGGGGTTGGATTTTCATTGTTTCCTGTCCATCCTCTCTGCCCTCCTTCCTGCTTTCTTTTGGATTCATGAACACAGAGATCAGTGCCGGGCCTGTCTGGTTTAAGATTCCTGTGGGATGCTAAGAGGAACTGATCTCTTACCTCTGCAATTGTTTCCTGGCCAACCCTGGCTGGGAACAGCTTTTCTGACCTCTAAGGCAAGGTTATCCCTGGCAGATATACTTAAAATCTTCAGATAGTCTGCTGGAATTTTCTGCCTTGGGGCCCCACTTCAGGTTTGCCCCCAGGAAGAAGGGAGCTCTACAGCGCAGTGGGGTCCCAGGCCAGGCAGACAGGGATTTGCTGCCACATCGCTCCCATCTTCTGCCTCAGACAGCTGAAGAAAGGCGGCAAGCAGGCGTCTGCCTCCTACGACTCGGAGGAAGAGGAGGAAGGACTGCCCATGAGCTACGATGAGAAGCGGCAGCTCAGCCTGGACATCAACCGGCTGCCTGGGGAGAAGCTGGGCCGCGTGGTGCACATCATCCAGTCTCGGGAGCCCTCACTCAGGGACTCCAACCCCGATGAGATCGAGATTGACTTTGAGACTCTGAAACCCACCACCTTGCGGGAACTAGAGAGATATGTTAAGTCTTGTTTACAGAAAAAGCAAAGGAAACCATTCTGTAAGTCACCTAGGTGGAGTGCATTGCTCGAAGTACCCCCCACTCCCAGCCTCCCTGACCTCTCACTTCTCAAGCCCCCAAGGACTGAGCACAGGGCCACACTATCCTGGCCTCTTCCCACCTCTTGCCCCAGAAATGTCTGTCTGCTGGACTAGGGCTGGGGTCTGGGACTGAGCCCCACCCAGCCAGAGCCCTCGTCCCCTGCTTTTGAGGAGGGGCAGCACTTGTGTGCATCAGCCTTACCTTGTCCCGGGATTGGCCCCTGGCCCCCATTCATGCAGGTTTTGGTAGGGTCCCTACCAACCCCCTTCCTGAGGCTTCATCTGTGTCTTAGCTGCAATTACCTCTCCAGTGGTTCCTTGCCAGGGCAGATCAGGTTCCCTTGTACTGAGGACTGTCCCCTTTGGGATTGTGTCCAGAGGCCACACAGGACAGACTCTGGCACTGGCCAGGGCTCCCCTTCCTTGGATGGGAACAAGTCAGTGGAGGTTGGGTGGGGGCAGCCCTGTGGTGACCTCAGCAGACCACCCAGGACCCTGTGAGGGTTACCCAAACCTGTGGGTGGCCACATGGGTGGGCTTAGCACTGCTCACTCTGAAAGGGGGAGCCGCTTTTATAAGGATGGATTGTCCATGTGACCTGCATGGTTATGGCACTCAGCGTGTGGTAAGTCATGGGCTTGGAGGTAGCAACTCGCGTGTCCAACAGTAGACACCAGGCTCCAGAAGCAGCAGCCCCACCAAGGGAGCACTGAGGGGGAGCCTCTGCCCTTCACATGGTGTGTGCTGGCCATGCTGTGTCCTTGCATACCTGTCCCTGGGTGGGAATGGCCTGTCCCACCTCTGGTGCAGGCTCTGCCATGGTGAGAATGCAGTAGAGGGCAGTTCCCAACTCATCTGATTGTTTCCACAGCTCAAGGAGCTTGGGCAGCCACCCTGTGGTTGTCTGTTCACAGGCCTTGGAAGGGTGAGCGGGTGGCATATCCTGGTGTGTGGGGCCAGGGCTACCTAGACACAGCCCTGTCTCTGGAGTGGCCAACAGAGTGAGGCAGTGGCCCAAGAGACAACAGAGAGGCTGCCTGCTCAGCCAGCCGCCGCCTCTGCAGCCCCAGCACTCTCTTGTCCCCACAGCAGCAAGTGGCAAGAAGCAGGCGGCTAAGTCCAAGGAGGAGCTTGCACAGGAAAAGAAGAAGGAGCTGGAGAAGCGTCTGCAGGACGTCAGTGGGCAGCTAAGCAGTAGCAAGAAGCCCGCGAGGAAAGGTAGGTGCCTGCAGCCGCTGCTGGCCTCCCTGTGCAGAGGGTGTGGGCACCAGACAGGCCCCATGTGCCTGCGCAGGCCTGCGTGTGCAAGCTCTGTGTTCTTAGCCAAGGCTTTTCACCTCCTGAAACCTACATCTCCTTGTTTGTCAAGAGGGGGCCACTCTCTGACCTTGCTGAGAGGTCACACAGATGTGAGATATGGTGAATGTGCCACATTCCAGAATGCCATGGACAGATGGCCCCCAAGCTCATGGTGAGGGGGTGGAGTCCCATGGCTAAAGGCACCAGGCTCCCACCCTGGCTGATTCCTCTGCCCAGCCATTGGGCATGGAGCTTTCTGGCCATCCCTGCCAACACCAGGAGCTCTAGGGCCTGTGTTTACACAGAGGCCTGGCAGGTCCCAGGTCCCTGGCCACCTTAGGAGTACTGAGACACATCCTGGGCAACAGTAGGGTCTGGGTGGTGGTCAGAGGTTCGCAGGCTTGGTGGTCAGTGGGAACCTCTTTTGGACAAGAGCCAGGGCTGTGACCTTGCTGGGTCCTGTCTGCCCAGGATCAAGACAGGGCCTGTGACTCTCCCTGCTTCCTCAGAAGGTGAGAGGGGTCTCCTCGGGCCACCCCTAGGTTGCCCTGGGTGGAGTTAAGTGCTCCAGAGATGCCAATGCCTGTGTCCTTATGCTTGTGGCCACGTGACAGATGGACAGGTGGCCTTTCCCCAGCGTCCTGTCTCTGTAGTAGTAGACAGCATTTTTTTTTCCATCTTAAGCATATTTAAGTAGCCTTGCTGACCCCACCAATTGATTTCAACAAACACTTACTAAGACACTGGGTGGTTAAACAAATATCAGTGGCCGGAATGGTTGGATAGAGGCACGCAGTGTGGTGGCGCGAGGCCTGTGTGGGCACTGAGCGCCTCCCCTGCCCCCTGTCTCTGCAGAGAAGCCTGGCTCAGCGGCCTCCGGAGGGCCATCCAGGCTGAGCAGCAGCAGCTCCTCCGAGTCAGGCAGCAGCAGCTCCAGCGGCTCCAGCTCCGACAGCAGCGACTCAGAGTAAACTCTGGACTCACACAGCAGCGGCTGTCGCACACACTGACGTCTGCAGTGTCCCCTTCTCTGGTTAATATACTACTTTTGTTCCATAGTGTGCAGGTTTTCTTTTTCATTCAGTGTTATGATATCTTCCAGTTCCGCTTCCGTAGGTCAGAGACCTACCTTGTGTGTGCATTAGACTTGTGGGAAAGTGTGAGCTCTGTCAGAACTGCTTCCGGCCGCTCGGAGATGACAACTTTGAATGCTAACCCGATGACCACAGAAAACCGTGAGATGGTCTGAAGGACCTTACAGGGTCCCTTTGTGTATGCCCTGCCTGGTCTGTAGCTCCAGAAGGGACTTTGTCTTTAATGGGCACTGTGTTGGAAGCTGTCACTTCGCAGCCAGGTTTGTCTCTGTCACCTGGGCCCCAAGCTCTGGCCCTCGTGCCTGTGCGGCTGCCTCTTCCCACAGGGGCTGAGGACATCGTGCCTGCTTGTGAAGGAGTGTCACAGCCCCCAGAACGGCGAGCTCGTGGTTGGAGACAGGTGGGGGCTGCCATGCAGGCAGGGATGTTGCGTTCTCTGAACGTGGTGAAATCAGGTGCTCCTGGGAAGGGACACGGCAGCCGCCTGCGCAGCGTGCAGGTTTCCGTACACTGAAGCTTTTACCTCAACTTTAACAAAAGAAGAAAAGATTTAAAAAAAAAAAAAAAAAAAAAAAAGGAGACTTTTTTGTAAGGTTCAGCAATTTTCTACGAGAGCCCAGCCCAGTGTGTGTCCTGACCTGTTAGTGCTGCCCTGCTGCTGCACACTCTGGAACCATTTCCCCAATTTTATGTATATATAAATACTTTATTTATTAACATCATTGGTCATTTTTAAAAAAAAAAAAACGAAAAAGAAAAACAAAATTGCAGAAGAAATGCATTAAAAAAAAAAAAAGGCAGAGACACATCGTTTTCCCGGTTGGAAGGAGACGGGGCTGTGTGAGGACGGCCTCCTGCCCCAGGTGCTCGCTGTACCCCTGCGGTGCTCGTCTGTGCACTCGTTCCTCCCTGTGTTGGTTGGGTTTTTGTTTTTTCTCTTTTGTGTTGTATGAAATGTGGAAACTCACAGGTAGAGACGACTTTTCAGCTACAGCACACTGTTTTGTTTGTTTTCTTATTTTGTATTCACCTCTGGTCTCTTTAGGACTGTTTTAAAGGAAATCAAGTTAGGGAACCCCAGTTATATAATATAAACTTTGTAATCTGAGAGAAAAAAATGTATAGTAAACTTCAGTCTTGATTTTTAACTTTCTATTGTAAAAAATAATAATATACAGAGTTTAACAGAAGGTTATGTTTTGGTTTTGTGTTTCCAGAGGCTGCCATTTGTATGGCCTTTGTGTGCAGGGACGCCCCGCCCAGCCAGGCTCAGAGCATGTGGCTTTGGCCAGGAAGGCAGGGGTTGGCCTCCAGGGTCTGCAGGTGGGGCGCCCCTCCCAGCCTCCAGGGTGGAGTCTTCTCTGGCCCCAGGAGAGCACCCTCCCTGGAGACTGCACAGTGCTTCTTGCTCTGGCATTTTCGGTATTTTCACAGTTAGCCCAGAAGTGAGGAAGCAGCTGTCTTCCCAACCTCCACATAAGGGGATCCTTGAGGTGGGTGCAGGTGGAGCTGTGGGGTGGTGTGTCCTTTTGTCTGGGCCAGTGCTTTCTGCCAGCACTTCTGGATGGATATAGGGACTAGTCATCAGTAACCTGATAAGTGGTAAGTTTTAAAAATAAAATTGATTCAGACTGCACCAGCCCTTACAGAGACAGATGTACCTTCAATGGACAGAGAACTCTGAGGAGGGAATGGGTAGTAGGTTTAATTATTCTAATTGCTGATGATTCTGACACTTGGTGAGTTTTCAGCCAGTTTGTTAAACTTTAATTAAGTTTTGTTTATAATAAAAATATAAATGGATTTTAAAGTTCCCATTTTTTAGAGTTACCCTTGTTTTTCAAAGGTATTTTCTAAACAGATCTTTAGTGGAATATTTAAACTATGAAATTAAAGAATTAACACACGACAACTGATGGGTCTTCACGCAGAATCTGACGGGTGATGCATAGACCCTGAGGTGGGGGCCAGGGTGTGGGGGCTGCTTTAGGGCGCCTGTCCAGTGCAGGGCAGTGAGGTGTTGCCTGTGTTTTTATTTTCATAATAAAAACCACGGTGGGCACGTTCCTGCCTGCTGGTTGCTGTGGTGGTAGAGTCTCACCCACCCCTCTCATTCGGTCTGACAGCCCCCTAAGGTCGCAGAGCAGCTGTAGTTTATTGGTGCTGTAACTTTCTTAAGGCTTTGTCCAGACTCCAATGCTGATGTCTCTCAGAGGCATGGAGGACCAGTGGCTTGCTCAGCACCCTCACCGCCAGGGTGACTCCCTGCTGGGCCTCTGTGTTGGGAAGACCGCAGCTACTCACACAGTTGTCCCACCGCTGAGAGCTGCAGGCGGCTTCCTACGTGCTTTTCTCAAGGGGAAAGAACAGAGAGCCATGTAGGGTGGTGCAGAAAGTGGAGAGGGGGTGCTCCACAGGAGCCCGGGCCAAGAGGTGTCGACTGGACTGCTGGACTCCTGGACCCCAGCGACCCTGCCTTGCCTCTGCTGGCCAGGTCATCTTGCCTACAGACTGTAGGACACCGTTTCTTTTGTGTTTGTTTTTGTTCTTTCGCAGTATTTACGCCTTTTACAGTCTTGGGGAAAAACAACACCCATGTAAAAGGTTTGTCACCTCTAGTTTAGTGCTGTTGCCTAATGCTGGCGTAACACTTCCAGAACGTTTTTCTTTTTTATATTTAAAATGTTACTTTTCTGTATGATGTGCATGCAAGTTTACCGTAACTTTTCTTAAACTTTTTAGTGCCGTTTCTAGTATATTCCTGTAAATGTCAGTTACTGAAAATGAGTCCAATGTAAGTAGTTTTAGCTTGTTTATTGCAATGCTGGCCTCAACACAACAGAATAAAAATGGTAGAAAGTACTCCTTGATGTTTCTGGTAATCACAGACCCTTCTCCTGGAGCATTTGTTTTGTTTTCATAATAAAAAGCAAAAAAAGAAAAAAAGCAAAGAAAAGAAAGGCTGTCTGTATACTTCTCCTGTGCTTTCTGTGGTGGCTCCAGGCTCGCGTCTGGACAGGGAGATGCCAGAAGCACCGTCTGGAAATTCTCCCTGGTCACCAGGGTGGTGACCCCTCTTCTCTCAACCTCCTTTAACTCAGCAGGAATACCACAACATCCAACAGAAAACCAAAAGTAGCTCGTCCTCAGCCTGGGCAGAGGAGCCAGGGTCTAGGGACCATCAGCGTTTATACATCGCAAGGAAGTGCAAGCCCCCTGTCATCAGAGCACAGCACCTTTGCTCGTCCCATCTGCCCGGTCCTCGCACCCTCCCACTCTGCAGCTCAGCTGCCTCTATGACACAGGCATCAAATGCCCAAGTCTAGTCAGCCCACAGGGACGGTCCAATGAAATCACTTCCATTCTCAGGTTTATGGCCACTTGGTGTAGAAACTGGCACACAGTCCAGGCTCAATGACCAGTGAAGACAACTAACTTTGCAGAACGACCTTGGCTAGACTGAGCCTTCTCAACCAGAGCCCCGTCCTTGAGGACAGGGCCTGTCCGCCTCAGGCAGATGGTGTGTCCCTGTAGCCTAAGCAGCTTAGCTCCAGCTGTCCTTCACATGATGCAGTGCCTACTTATCCCATACATGCCCCGACCCCTGCAGACTAGCCCGTGTATGCTCATCCTCCTAGTGCTGCATGTGACTTTAGACTCCACCTCCTGGGGCCGGCTCCACCATAGCCCATCCTCAGGTTACTCCAAGGTGCAGTGAGCCAGCAGCACATGGATGTTCCAGATTAGTCTGTGAAGTCTGCTTTTTCACCAAGCAGAACTTAAACTAAAGAACTGACAGATACTGGAAGTCTGTCCTTACTGCTGGGATCCCGTGCTGTAGAAGTCTTGTTCTCCCAGGCAGGGCAGGGACTCAAGATGTATCACTGGGGCTCCTGGCCTGGCACAGAGTGAGAGTCTACCAAAGGCCTTGGGGGTTGCAGGGGCTGCTGCTGCTGAGACCTCTGGCTGGAAATGCAGATTTTTGGGGGGGCGGGGGCAGGTTTTGGCCAGGGCTGGGTTTGAACCTGCCACCTTCGGCATATGGGGCTGGCGCCCTACTCCTTTGAGCCACAGGCGCTGCCCTAGAAATGCAGTTTTGGCCTAGCAGTGCCATTTCCAGGAAGTTTGCTGCAAAGAGGCCACCATGTTCAGGACATGTTGTTTGAACACATGACCTCGCCATCTCAACGTCCATCCATGGGCTAACAGGAGAGCGGTCTGCTAGTCAGATGTTAAAACTGTAGGAAGAATGCTCATGTTACAGTTGAGCAAGAAAGAAAATGGCAGAATGAGATGCAGGGTTCAACTGCACAAGCACATGCAGGTCAGAGGACACAGCTACTGACAGCAGCTGTCCTTAGGACAATTCTGCTTAGTTTTGTGCATTTCTGTATTGGGGTTTTTAGCAGTCTTTAGATACTTCTATTAAAAAACATGAAGTAGGGCACCAGCCCTATATGCCGGAGGTGGCAGGTTCAAACCCAGTCCTGGCCAAAAACTGGGAAAAAAAAAAAAAAAAACATGGGAAGCCAAGTAAGATATTAGGAACAAAAATTAAGAGGAAGGAGAGTCCTAAAGGGTGTTTATTTAGAAAAGAAAAATCGGTTTTGACAAAAGACCCTTCCACATTTGTATAACCAGGAAGGCTGTAATTATGGCAGGGAGCAAATCTTTTCAGAATGGCTCATGGACACCACACACAAAGGTGGCCACTGGCTGCATGTGGGCAGCAGTGACATACACATGTCAGACGGTCAGTGGTGTGAGCTGTGGCCTCAGAATAGAAGCTGAAATTCAGTGTCCCATGTAGAACTGCCTTTTAAGCCATGCTCTTCCCTTTGAAATCATTGCAGGCAGCCCCTCAAACTTGGCATTTCCTTATCGTGTTCTAGATGCACTTGCTGGTGCTCCCACAGTGTCTGGGAGCTACCTGTGTGTGTCACAGAGAATGACTGTCCTGGTAACTCAGAATGTGAGTTCAACCTAGCTCCCCGGGCTGCTGCTGCTGCTCACCATCTGTGTGATCTGGAGCGTGGTCAGCCGCCCTCCCAGCCAAGCAAATGGAGCTGAGACAGATAGGTGATCCCTCACCCTACTCTAGCCCTGACCTGGTCTTCAGCGGGCAGAAGTTAATGCTAAACACAAACTGTGAGAACTTGAAAAGCAGGCTCATGATGGGAACAGAGGCTTGGAAGCTTAACACAGAAACATCCCCTTGGAGATGCCTGGGTCTAGGAGACTAGAAGTTGAAACGACCGGCTGCGAGCTTCTGTGGCTACAGAAGGAAGTGTCCCGTGTCCACGCAACTCTGTGCTAAAGGGCTTGGGATGGGTCCTTACTCCACAGCTGGACAGACCTTCACCTTCATTATTCAGAATCTTCCAGTAAGGACTAGAAGTCAATACCTGAACTGGCACTTGGGCTCAGGTTTCCATGTGGAATTACATAACTGTGCAGAACTTGGACTGGCCCGTGTCCCGGGAGACCTCCAGCTTGTTTTTATCTCGGACTAAGATGGCCTCATTCCCATACTGTGAGTACCACATGCTTCGGCTCCTGCTCAGGTATGTCCCGGGCGGTACTGATTCCAATTTCTGCTGCTGCTGCTGCCAGATGAGCAAAGATGTGTCCCTGTACCGGAGGCGGGCATAGCCTTCAGATAAGGCCTTCTCTGCCAGGGGGACGCGGCCACTCATGCCCCCACCCTCCCCCAGCTCTTACCCTACTCTGAGGCAGCTCTC